AGAATGAAAGGGAAGGGAGGAGGAAGGGAACAGGAAAGACAGTAGAACAAACCGGACATAACTTTCCTCATATATGCTCATAGATGAATACACAACCAGTGAAACTCCACATCACGTACAACCACAAGAATGAGATCCTAAGTTATACTCCATGGATGTATAATATGTCAAAATATACCCTACTGTCTTATACAAAACAAAACAAATAAAAATAATAAAACAGGTTAAGAACAGAGAGAGCCAGGCTAGTTTAGCCAGAGCCAGGAGGCTAAAGGGATATGATAAGAAACATGCAGGGCAAATAGCAACTTTCTGAGAAGCCCAAAGAAAAGCTCAATCAAAATGACAGGTGAGGGTTGAAGGTGTAGTTTTTTGACATATAACACCTGTCCAGCAATGCAAGAGGCCCTGGATTTGATCCCCAGCACTGAAAGGGGAAAAGAAAAAGAAAAAGGTCAAGGGGGCTTTGAGCAAGGACCTGACTAAGCCACCTCTCCCAGAATACATATGCCTGCACCCTACCACCCAAGACCACCAACTCCACCACTCCCAGTAGGATACAAACCCCATGGTGGCCCAAATAACCCAACACTTGGTCAGGTAATTCCTCAAAATGGCCCACAGGAATTCAGACCAAAGTGGCCCAATTAGATTCCACCACTACCCAAAATACCAAACAGCCTCTCACTAGTCTAGGAAAGGTCTGGGATGCTAGTGAGTCAAATGGACTATGAAATTCCCACTCCCAGGGAGATTATTCAGTCTCCCCCTTGATACTGCCTCACTGATTACAGGCCCACTGATTTCTTTCTTAATAATAGACAGCTTAGATAAAGCTGTGTGAGCCCAGAAACCTTTCCCAATCTGACCCATCTACCACCCCACACCCTGAGTTGTAGCCAGATGGAACTATATAGTACTCCCACTTTCTGGAAGCTTACTCATGCTGTTCATTCTGACCAGAAACCCTTTGCTCAGTCTGGAAAAATCCTAGTGATGGCCCACTCCAACCACTAGCTGAAATACTTAACCAGTGCTCACTCTCCACCACATGCTTTCCAAGGACTTGCTGCAGCTCCTTCCCCAGGCTCATCCTCATTGATGACTGCTTCTGCCATCTATCTTTGGTACCTCAATGTCTAGCTTCTCTCCCGTGCTCCATTTGTATTTGTTGAATGAATTTTTTAAGCTAGTTCATCTTCTCCTCTGATATGACAGCAGGGAAATAACTGGATTATGTTGGAAGTTATACTAGAAATGGCTTCCTATTAAGTGAAATTCTAGTCTCAATCCCACCAAGTAAAAACCTTGGAGGGAAACTGTACTCATCTCTTTGCAATCAGGCACAAAGGCCAACATAGGATGAAAAACAATTCATGGCTCCTACCTCTCCTGGGTAGTCTAGGGCAGTGTGTCCGTGGATTTCCTATGGGGTGGCCAGGGGGAGGGTGCTTGTATCTCCCTTAAGTTACCCTTAACACTAGAGTTAAAGACTATCCCTGTGTTTCCTGAATGAATCAGAAATGTCAGGGGAAAAAAACAATGAGCTTCAAGTTCTACAGAACTCATTGTACATTAAGACCCAAATAGCCCAGAAAATGCTAAGCAACATCGACAATCACTGGAAACTAAACAGAGTATGCCGTCTGCAACCAGCACACTACAATCAGGTAGTGTATCAGCTCACAATGGAGAGAAGAGAGGAGACAGGAACACAGGCAAAGGAGATCAAAGAAGAGTAACTAAAATGAAAAGTCCTGTCTGAGAAGGGCACCTGGCAAACACAGATGTTGACATAATGTAACTGACACCTACCAAGCAGGTTGATGTGGTAGGATTAACAAGGACGGCTTAACAGAAAAGATTTGAAACATTTATTTAAAACCAATAAAGAGTCCTTCAACATATATCTCAGTCTTAAGAAAATTTAGCCCCCAAGAGGCAATTCAAGCTAAAATACGATGCATTTCATGAAGAAATTTCTATAGGTCTAATGAAAACGCTAAGAAATCCAGGACAGAATGGGAAGCACAGGTAAAGCACTTCTGCTGCCTAACAAAGTACTATGGCTGTCTCAACCCAAAGCATGTCTGCAGAGAATGGATTGTCGCACTGTGAACTCAACTAGCCACATTTTTCATGGGACATCATGTTTACTTGTGGGAACAACAGACACACCATGGTTAGACTTGTGTGTCTGACCTATATTTCCTCAAATATGAAGAAACGGATCCTGACACTTATAAAAAAGACAACATTTGTTGCCAATGATAAGAGGTTGAACATTCAAGCAAAATATCTGAATTTTGCAAAACTGTTTCCCAATACTTAAAAGACATACAGATAAGTAGGAAGGTTTTGTGGGTTTTGGTGGGGGAAGGGGGTTGCTTTGCTTTTTTGTTTTTGTTTGTTGCTAGATGGCACAGGATTTTGAACCAGTCAATTTACAAATTTATGGTATTTTATAAGCTTGGTTAAGTTACTTTTCTTACTAGCTTTAATGGGTTTTTGTTGTTTTTTAAATAAAATTCAAGACAGTATTTAAATTATGTCAACCTAATTGCTTGCAAGAAAACTGCCCAAATTTTTATGATGTTAATATGATTGTTCTATGGAAACATTAAGCACTCATATATAAAAGATATATTAGTATTTCACATCAATTGAATTTTAAGAATCTGCAGATAATATATTAACACACCAACCAAAAAATTAAAAACAAAAGGATGACATCAAATGAAAGTTGGAATTCTGATTTCCTTTGGTTAACTTTTCTTCCCCCACTCGCCACCCCCTCTGATGAACTGAACCCAAGGGTGCTTTACCACTGAGCCACATCTCAAGTCCTTTTTATTTTGAGACAGAGTCTTGCTAAGTTGCTCAGTCTCATCAAATTGCTGAGGCTGGCCTCGAACTTGAAATCCTCCTGCCTCATCCTCCTGGGGATCACAGGCATGGGCCACCACACCTAGTTCTTTAGTTAACTTTTTGAGTAATATGACTTTAACAAGTTGAATACAAAGTAACAAGTTAAATACAAAGTAAGAACATTGTTATCTAAGAGCAAACCAAAAGGGGAAAAAAAAAAAAAAAACCCTTCTCCAAAATCAAAGTTAAATGTCTAGTAAAATAACATCCCACTGGGATGTCCAAATTCTAAGAAGTTACATGAGAAAGTAAAAGAAAAAAAAAAAAAAAAAAGCCATAGAATTAGGAATTAACGTATAGACTTCCAAAATGGCAAAAATAAATAAATAACAAACCTTAAGGAAAGTCTTTACTGAACATGTTGGATAACATCAAGCCAACTGAGTGATACGAAAGATTGACATCTACCAAACTAGCCAATATGGTAAGATGAATAGGGGCTTCTTAATAGAAGAGATTTGAAACTTAATATTTGGGACCAATAAAGGGTATTCCTACACACACATATTTCAGCCATAAGAGAGTTTGGCTCCAAGATGTAATTCAGGCTAAATTATGAACTACTGTCAGTATTATAGGCTTCAAGGGGGTGTTGTTTGCTGTTGCTATTGTACAAAGAAACTGCATCTATGGAAAATAATATTAAAATATCCATGCTTCTACAAACTCTACCCTAAAACTTCTATTTTGAGATACATCAAGGTGTCAGCAATTTATCTTCTCAAGCATCATCATCTGAGTGTATTTTTTTTTTTTTTTTTTTTTTGGTACTAGGGATTAACCCAGAGGTGCTTTACCACTAAGCTCTATCCCCAGTGTTTTTTGTTTTTTTTTATGTTGAGACGGGTCTCAGTAAATTGCTTAAGGCCTCGCTAAGTTGCTGAGGCTGGCCTGGAACTTGTGATCCCCTAGCCTGGGCCTCCCATGTCACTGGGATTACAGGCCTGCACCACCTCACCTGGTTCTGAGTGTATATTTCTTACTTCAATCTAAAACCTTAATAAAGAAAAAGTCACATAGTGATTTTTCTTTAAGAAGTCAAACAGTCTGGATGAGGCTTGCTTCTTCCTTCTCCCAAACAATTCATAACAATATCTATTACACCCATCTCAAAATTCTGCAGGTGTTTTCACTCTATAATAGTATCACATTTTTAACCAACTTAGTGTCTAACGAAAAATGGTAGGAGATGCACACTGTTACTAACAGTTTAACATTAAAAACACAATAACCAAGGAAAATTCAGAAAAGTTTTGAAAATAACGATGTATTTTCATATCCATGTGAAATTCTTATTATTCATTCATTAGAATAATTCCAAGTTGGTGGTTTACCAACAAAAGTGGGGATGAGGAATTAGGAAATTTAAGAAAGAAGCCAATTCTGTATTTCAGACCAAAGGCCTAAAGTGCTAAACAGAAGTTTAAAATTTTAAACTACAAATTGCCTTACATAATTATTTTAATCACTATTTTATCTTCGAAGTCATCCTAACAGGTAGCTGAGGCAACCTGCCCTTGAAAAGCAAATCCACGCATACCAAATAATGGAGCACTGTTTTTTACAAGACAAGTCAGACCCTAAAAATTCCTGAAGTATAACACAAATGTTCATTGACCCCATTCTAAAAAAGTGACCTAGAACACTAGAATAGGTACACTCTTGACCTCGATCACATTCCCTGCTGCCGGTTTCTCCATTATAATTTTACAACCAGTTATTATATCTGAGGATGTTTGAATAAAACTACCATCCAGCTTAGGATTTGATATTAAATGGATAAAGCGGGTTATGAATACTTCAGAACGCGTCCAGAGCATCCTGGGCCATCACACCTACACCTACTATGTCCATTTAATGCAATGCTTTAAGTTATTTAAACGTACATTAACAAAATTCACGTAGCAAAGCCATGCCTGCAGGCAGTTTGACACGTCTGAAATAACAGTGCAAATAAAATGCTTTCTGAGGGCCCCGTTTACACAGCCTCCAAATCCCACAAGTAACATCCTTAACGTTCGGCATTTTCTCGGTTGTGACCGTGGGAGGTGAGGGTGTGTCTCGGTACTTACCGATGCCCGGAGCCACATAGATGAAGTAAAGACAAGACGAGGACAGGGAGAAGAAGAAGATGAAGGCGAGGAGGGAGCGATTGGAGACCCGCATCATTCGCCTGAGCACAGACATCTTCCTCTTCCCAGCCTGCAGCTCGGGCTGCGCTCTCAGGCCGGATTCGGGGCCACCGTCCAGGCCCTAAACTTCCATGAATGTGCTATGAACCCCGAGAATACCGACGGTTCCGTGCAGAGAGGCTCTGGGAATAGGGCCCGAGCCGGAAGGAGAAAAGGGGATGAAGCGCACGGAATGAATGGGAGGCCGAGGAGCCGGGGAGGAGAGGCGCGGGAGGACTAAGAGGAAAGGTGGAGGAAGAAGAGAGTCCGGGTGGGGGTCCCGAGACCAGAGAACCTGGAGAGGCGGAGGAAGGGCGAGGACGCGCGTTCCCTCCGCCAGGCAGCGGCGGGAGGAGGGGCTGCAGGTGGGGAGAGGCGCAGGCTGCGCGCCGCGGCGCCCTGCGGAGAGGGGCAGTTAACTGCAGCACACCGGGGTTGCCCGCGGCTCCAGGTATCCGCCCAGGACCGAGCCCAGAACTCAGGGTCCCGCCGCCCGCGATCGCTCGGCGGGCCTGCGCCTCCTTCTCCGGGCCGCGGCGTCTCGTGCCTGCGCCGGGCTAGCGTGGGCGCCGGGGCCGCAGCCTGCTCACGCGACGCGCTAGGGCCCGCGGGGGCCCTGGGGGCCGAAGAGCTGGGCGCTCGCCGGCGCGCAACCTCCACCTCATGCCGCGCCGGACCCCGGCACCCTGCGGCCGCCGCGGGAGCCAAGCGCAGGCCAGGGCGGCGTCCCGGCCAGCGGCGAGCACGCTCCGGCTCTGGTTCCAGCCGCTGCCAGCTGCCCGTCCGGCCGCAAGGGCGGCAAAGGCAGAGGCATTACCGCCGCCGGCAGGGGTGAGGCGCCCCCGCCGGCGCCGCCCCCGGGACACCAGGCAAAGATCGGCTCCGGCGAAGCGCGTGGCGAGCCGAGGTGGGGAGCGCGAAGAGAAGGAGGCCGCAAGCCGTCGGAGCCGCTTCTGGGCCGGAGAAGGGGGTGGACCTGGAAAGGCGGGGGCGCCTCAGAGGAAAATCCGGACTGGCAGGCGCGCCCGGAGACCCCCGCAGGCTCCGCCCGCTCGCTCCGAACTCGGCAGGCGGCGCTGCGCCGGGACCCGAGGAAACCTGGAGCCCCCGCCCTCCCCTCGCCAGAAACACCGCGCGTCCTCATTGGCCCGCGCCGCACAACGCCGTGCTACCCCCTCCGCGCCGCGGGACCCGGGCTCCCGTCGCCTCCTGCGTCACCGCCGCCCCCGCCGCCTGGGGACCCTGCGCTCCCCTCGCCGCACTGGGCTAAGGAACGCGTCGCCTCCTGGCATGCGTTCCACTTTAGGAATCGATCATGAAGGATGATATACCTGGCGAGGAAGGGCATCTCGAGAAGGGATGTCATTTCCTCCCCCAAATACTCGGAGAAAAAGATGTATTTTCTACCTGGATTAATAATTCCGCCCTCACCCCCATCCCGTCCTTCCTATAGAAACACTGTCGGAGTGCGGTATGTGCTTTATGTTAGGACTTGCCTTCACTTCTAAAGGTGGACACTGGGGTAGTCCCCCTGTAGCTTTGTGCACTCTGTAGGCCCCTGAGCGCAGCCGCCCATCCTGCTTCAATGGACAAGCTGTTCGGTGCTTTAATGGACCTTCTAGGCCATGGGCTACCGTTCTTCAAATGTTCTTTCCTGCTAGATAATTTAGTCCTTAGCTGTATCACTTTTTTTTTTCCAACAAATGTGTGCAGGCATAATTTACTTTCTCAGTAATAAAAATAGAACACCATTAATTATGACAACCTAATGTTTTAACCAGCTATTTAAGAGTATGGAGACTCGCTCTAGTGGACTAAAAATAATAAAAGAAATGTATTGTGTAACAAATTTAGAACAAAGCTTCTGCCATTATTTGCTCGGTATTCTCAGATTGAATTATCTCTCGATCGCCAGCAAGTTTGGTACCTTCTTACCAAGATTATCTTAGTCTCAGTGCTGTGCAAGTTGAAGCCTGAACCACCTGGGCTTATAAAGCCTGGCCTTTTATTAACTGTAAGCTTCTACCCTCCTTGAGACTCTCCTAGTCCTCAAACAGTGGGTGTAATACCCACTTTGTAAGGCTGTGCGATTAAGTGGGATAACTTAAAATACTAAGTATAGTATCTGGCACAGAAAAGATTCCCTTACATCCCATTAGTTCCCTGGATGGACTCATCAAGTTCAAACTCATTTTCAATATTTTTCCTTTTGGAGTACTTTAACAGTTACTCAAGCTAATTTGATATTTAATGTGAAATGTAACATTTTTAGATGTTACATTTAAGAGGAGTTGAAATGCAAAGTGGAGCAACATATTAAATAAAACACTTGGAAAAAACTAAGCAAAATAAATTTGAATGATGAGGAAGCAAAAATTGTGGTATTGACTTCCCCTTGACATTTCATCTCTCTTTATTTACACCAGTTCAACTGATAGTTTACAAAGTTAATTCCACCAAATCATTAGTTTAGATAGGGCTCTATACCCTTTCTTACCTACCAATGGACCATTGATCCTAGGCAAGGTTGGCTTTTTAAGATAAGTTTACAACTAAGAGGAAGGTAATATCATAGAAATTGAGGGTTAATCTTGTAAGAAATGTGAAGGCTACATCTGATGTCCCTGGCTGCATAGATGACTGCCATTGGTATCTCTTCTCATTTTAACCTCATTCCTTGTGATTTGTCTTGTTAGCCAGGGCACTGCAGACTTGTTAAAACTGATTGGTTCTCCTCTGAAATAAAGCAAGACTTCTTCTATTGTACTAGGAAGCAAAATCAAGGATACAGCCATTGTGAGAATTACATTAAATGAGTTAATACCCTTAGAGGGCCTGGTGCATGCTAATCAATATTTGAATATTTGTTAAATTTAATCTTTAAAGCTCTTCTTTCTGTCTCTTTCAGCAGAAACAAGTGATGTTTCACTTGTCCCTTTTTGTTTAAACACCAAATTTCCTAGTCTTTCATCTAGTAAGTCTCTCTCTAATACTCTGAAGGATGCCTCAAGGTCTCAGCTCTTTTTTTTTTTTTTTCTTTTTTTTTTCCTTTCAGGGCAAGGGAAGCAAGCCCAGGCTTTTGCACATGCTAGCAAGCACTCTACCACTGAGCTACCTGCCCCCTAGCCCTCAGCTTTTTTAAAAAAAACAGGAAATATTCAAAACCTAAGAAATGCTAACTGAACCTTTCAAACCCACTCCATCAACTGATATTTCTCAGAAGCCTGATAAGCCCCACAGCAAAGGCATAACTACAGAAATTTAAGAACTTTAATATTTTATGACATTGAAAAGACTTTAAAACCTGTAATAGTAAGAATAAATTACGATGATAAGACAGAAGTGAATTTTATTCAATAGCTTTTGTTCTAAATTTATTACACCATCCATTTTTTTAATTATTTTTGGTCCACTAGAGAGAGTGCGCATACACTCAAAGTTTGGATAAAACATTAAGTTGTCATAATTAATGACTTCTATTTGTATTAATAAGAAATAAATTATAGCTGAGAGCAGTGGCACACCTCTGTAATCCCCATGGTTTGGAGGCTGTGACAGGAGAATCACTAGTTCAAAGCCAGCCTCAGCAATTTAGCAAGGCCCTAAGCAACTTAGGGAAGCCCTGTCTCTAAATAAAATACACACACACACACACACACACACACCCCAAAAAAAAAACGAGCTGGGCATGTGCCTCAGTGGTTAAATGTTCCTGTGTTCAATCCCTAGTACCAAACTTAATTAATTAATTACAGAGACCATAATCAAAATGAAAAAGAAATGCATGCTTGTTTAATGAAGTAGGTAATAGGTAATACTCTAGATGATTTATGCTATCTGGGTGAAGCTGAACAATATTCACCTGGTGTTTTAGATTTGCACATGACCTTGGTAAAAGCAATGAAATAGTATATAGAATTTCACTTTTAAGGTGGGCATGGGGGATGTAACTCAGTGATGGAGCACTTTCCTAGCATGGAAAAAGGCCCTGAGTTCAATCCACAGCACTGAAAGAAAGAAACAAAACCTGAGAATGGTGGCACATGCTGTTTGTAATCCCAACTACTTGGGAGGCTAAGGCAAGAGGATTGCAAGTTCACGACCAGCTAGGGTAACTTAGTGAAACCCTGTTTCAAAGTAAATTTTTTAAAAGATGGGGGATATAACTCAGTGGTAGATCACTTACTCAGCATGTACAAGGCCCTGGATTCAACTCCCAATAGCAGAAAAAGGGGGAAAAAATCTCATTTTTATGGTTGTTAAAAATTCAAACCTCAGTATTAAAATCACTGAATAAATACAGTAATTAAAAATTTTCTAACATGTGGTCTTAACATCTGAAATTCAGCTAAATAAAATTATTGCTTTGATGGATTTGTATTTAGACAATTGAAATTTTTTACTTATATAATGGAATGTAGATTGTATAAAAGTTAAACATGGGCATGATTCATCAAATGAAATACATTTATTCCAAAATGTGGTACAGAAACTACTCTTAAAATTTTTTTTCATTTTAAATATGACCAACTGTAAGGATGGCCTTAGGCCTTACCTCAGCAACTCCATTTTAAAAACTCTACTTGGCAACCTGTAGTCTCACCAGTCATGTCTATGGAGCCCTCCAATATGATCATCAGGCATAGCCCTGACATAAACAAGTCACTTCTCCCCACCCTGACAAGCTCAGAGTGAAGTCTCTGTCATGTTGTCCTCAGATGCTTTAACCCCAGGACAAATGACATCACTGAGAAATCTGGTGGCAGCTGATAGGGATTGAAAGAAGCCCCCAAATTTAGTATAAATGATGGAGCAAATGAACAGACATTCAGCCAGCTGACACTGATGCCCTCATGCTGGAGAGCCTGATGAGGACCTTGAACTGACATCCCAACTCTTCTCATTGTTTGCCTGATCCTCTGCATCTTCCTCACCATTCTCAAACTCTACAGCCACATCTTGGCCCTGGTGAGAACTGCAACTTCTCCCTATGACCCTTAACCAGCCATCAGCTCCACCCCAGGGGAAGACTGCCTTGGTTCCTGATCTGATCACCGGGGCCTGAGTCAGTGTGCATCTGCTGGACTTAAAGCCTAGGGCTTGAGACTTTTGATCTGACACTTGAGCTTAGCATGCAGAGGGAATGTGTATCAGGAGCCTCTGATGATTTAAGTGTGTTTGCAGTGCTTAGAATTAATCTAGAATTGTTTGCTGTGAATTGATTATGTCTATTGCAGTGCCTAGCATTAAGGAT